ACAACTGCAAAAACCCAAATTACATAAATTGACAGATGTCCAAAATCATAATCAAATGTTTCATTAAAGCTTACGACCATTTGTGTAGCTTGCTGTCAACCTTTGCAGCCCGAAAGACAGTTGCATCTGTCAAATAGCAAATTTAGGAACCGCTTATGCAGGGAGGCTAATTTAACTAATTTACGATGCCATAAAATCTCTAGCTTGTGTGCAAAAAGAATGAGGAAGTATTCCATCAGTGTCACAAATGGGCGGTGAAGCGGCAGCTCCCCTGGTGGCCAGAATACCCTCATGAAGCTGGAATGTTAAATAGCCTATGTGTGTTTGTCTATATATGTTGTGTGTCTATGGCATTGAATGTTTGCCATGTATATGTACATTCTAATCTGCCCTGAGTCCCCTGCAGGGTGAGAAGGGAGTAATATAAATACTGTAAATAATAATAATAATAAATAGGTATGGTGAGTTTCCAGTTTCTCACTCTCTACAATGCTAGAGATTTAGATAGAAGGAAAATTGTGCTTAGAGCAGCAAAGTTGTTATTTGGAAGGGCTATGCTACCATCCCACCATCTTTTAACTACATCCCAATAGCATGCTGTGTTATTTTATCCCAACCCAATGCATGGTTATCTTTCATTCATACAGATGGAGCCCCCGGTGGTGTAGTGGGTTAAACCCCTGTGCTGGCAGGACTGAAGACCGACAGGTCGCAGGTTCAAACCCAGAGAGAGGCGGATGAGCTCCCTCTATCAGCTCCAGTTCCTCATACGGGGACATGAGGGAAGCCTCCCACAAGGATGATAAAAACATCAAATCATCCGGGCATCCCCTGGGCAACGTCCTTGCAGACGGCCAATTCTCTCACACCAGAAGCAACTTGCAGTTTCTCAAGTCGCTCCTGACACGACAAAAAAAATTCATACAGACAAGACAAAGGGGATAGAATTTACTGGGACACCATTATAGGGATACGGTGCTAGGTTACATTGGCTGTGGCCCTGTGATGGGCCAAGACATCTCTTGCATGCCTATGTCTTTTTAAATGGGGGGGGGCACTCTTAACCTTCTCCCCACCCCCTCCTGCCCCCAACATAATGAAAGGCGTTTGGCTGGTCATGTCAAAAGCAAAAAAAAAACTTGGAAGAGTGGAAGAGGCACATCAAACAAAAGCATGCTTGTGTTATCCAAGCATTACCAAGCAAACAAATAGAGGCTTAATTGGGGATTATCTGGAAGCAACTATAGCTCTCGCTATTGTTTAAAATCTTTGTTCCTGCTGATTTGCAAAACAGCTCTGAAGTGCAATGTGACTGGATGGGCATGAAAGCATTGATTTCTTTATATAATAAGTGCACCATGACCTACATGGGTGAGCTGTGAGAAATGGGGTGGCTGTAACGTTATTAGGCTCTGGGCTGTAGCGTTATAGTGCTCCTGACTAAAGTAAAATTGGTGTCCTTTAGGGCTTGTGAAGTGTTTATGTTGAGAGTCCTGCATGTGTAGTGGTTTGAGCATTGCATTAGATTCTGGAAATCAGGGTTCAAATCCCTACTCAGCTATGAAAACCCATCAGGTTACCCACTAGGTCACACTCCTTTAGCTTCGGAAGAAGGCAAGATTCTGAACAAATGTTGCCCAGGGAAGTATGTAATGGCGTTGTTTTAGGGCAGGGGTCCTCAAACTAAGGCCCGGGGGCCGAATACTGCCCTCCAAGGTCATTTTCCCGGCCCTTACTCAAGATCAACTTAAGTCTGAAACAACTTGAAAGCACACAACAACAACAACAACAACAACAACAACAATCCTATCTCATCAGCCAAAAGCAGGCTCACACTTCCCACTGAAATAGTAATAAGTTTATATTTGTTAAAATTATTCTTCATTTTAATTATTGTATTATTTTAAGTGTTTTTTGCACTACAAATAAGATATGTGCAGTGTGCATAGGAATTCATTCATGGTTTTTTTTCACATTATAATCCGGCCCTCCAACAGTTTGAGGGACTGTGACCTGGCCCTCTGTTTAAAAAGTTTGAGGACCCCTGTTTTAGGGTCATTGTAAGTTGGAAATGAAGGTAGATAACAATAGCACCCATGCTGGTTTGGAAGAGTACACTGTTCAGTCATTCTCATGAAATTTGTTATCCTCATTACCTTTCTTTGGAGGAGCTAAAGTGTGGGAAAGTCTGTGTGGAATCTGGTTGGCTCAAACTGCAGCTTTTCCAATGTCTCTAGAGAATAAGTGACCTGAAGTCATCTGGGTGGACAAACTGAGTGAGAGCCACATATTTTTGCCATATTGTTATGGGATACTGGGGGAGAATAGCTATGTATGAACTTGCCCACACTCTAGTGCAGTGTTTCTCAACCTGGGGGTCAGGATCCTTGGGGGGGGGGGTGAGGGGGGTGTCAGAGGGGTCGCCAAAGACCACCAGAAAGCACAATATATGGGAAGTTTGACCCAGTTCTATCATTGGTGGGGTTCAGAATGCTTTTTCATTGTAGGTGAACTATAAATTCCAGAAATTACAACTCTGAAATGTCAGGGTCTATTTTCTCAAAACTCCACCAGTGATCACATTTGGGCCTGTTGAGTATTCATGCCAAGTTTGGTCCAGATCCATCATTGTTTGAGTCTACAGTGCTCTCTGAATGTAAGAGAACTACAATTCCAAAACCCAAGGTCAATGCCCACCAAACCCTTCCAGTATTTTCTGTTAGTCATGGGGGTTCTGTGTGCTAAGTTTGGTTCAATTCCATCATTGGTGGAATTCAGAATGCTCTTTGATTGTACTTTAACTATAAATATCATAAACTACAACTCCCAAGTGAAATAATCAATATTTTCTCCAACCCCACCAGTATTCAAATTTGGGTGTATTGGGTATTTGCACCAAATTTGGTCCAGTGAATGAAAATACATCCTGCATATCAGATATTTACATTAAAATTCATAACAGTAGCAAAATTATAGTTATGAAGTAGCAATGAAAATAATGTTATAGTTGGGGGTCACCACAACATGAGGAACTGTATTAAGGGGTCACACAATTAGGAAGGTTGAGAACCACTGCTTTATTGCTTACATACATAGATTATGGTTGTCCAGTCTTTATAGTTTCAGCCTGTGTCAGGTAATGTCTGAAGTAGGGAAACAAAAATGGTCTGCCTGAAGTGAAATGTGTGACATGTGGAAATTTCTACTCAAGAAATGCCAGTTAAAAATTTTCAGGGACAATGTAACTAATACTCATTACATTTCTTGATGGTGAAGGAATTGCATATTGCTTTCCAAATGTCATTGTGTGCATTTGTACCTAGAGAATAATGAATAATTCCTCACACTACTGTTAGTAAATGAAGGGGGATGCTCATTCCCTCTTAACCAGAGCTGGGACTCCTGGACATTGTTGGAATACAACTGATAAAAGCTAAGGGCTCATGAGAATGGCAGCAGTAGTGTCTGGAGGTCTACAAGTTCCCAGTGTAGTAATTTGAAAGGTGATTAGGAGAACCACAGAAAGTGGTACCTCTAATAATATAATGTAATGTAATATACTATATATACATATAATATTTATAATATTACAATGGAATGCAATATAATACTACTAATAATAATATTATATTATAATGATATATTTATACTAGCCATCCCCTGCCACGCATTGCTGTGGCCCACATGGGGGTTCTGTGTGGGTGGTTTGGCCCAATTATATCGTTGGTGGGGTTCAGAATGCTCTGTGATTGTAGGTGAACTACAAATCCCAGCAACTACAACTCCCAAATGTCAAGATTCTATTTTCCCCAAACTCCACCAGTATTCACATTTGGGCATATTGAGTATTTGTGTAAAGTTTGGTCCAGATCCATCATTGTTTGAGTCCACCATGCTCTCTGGATGTAGGTGAACTACAACTCCAAAACCAAAGGACATTCCTCTCCAAACCCTTCCAGTATTTTCTGTTAGTCATGGGAGAACTGTGTGCCAAGTTTGGCCCAATTCTATCGTTGGTGGGGTTCAGAATGCTCTTTGATTGTGGGTGAACTATAAATCCCAGCAACTACAACTCCCAAATGACAAAATCAAAATTTTTTGAGTGAAGGACATACATTAGGTTGTTGGTGTCTTATGTCCAAATTTGGTGTCAATTCATCCAGTGGTTTTTGAGTTCTGTTAATCCCACAAATGAACATTACATTTTTATTTATATAGATTACATGTAATATTACTAATAATATTACAATATAATGGTATAGTACAATATAGTAATATTTAATACTGATATATAAATGTCGTAAATAAATAAATACATTTAGCAAGGGTAGGATCCTGACAGAGACTTAAGACCTCATCATGTGGAGATCCCAAGTGTGGGTGACTGTGGGGGGATTCACCGAGCAGCATGGCAAATCCATGGGAAAGCAGGGGAAAGCATCACCCCACATCTCCCACATCACCGTTCTCCCCATCACATGCGGAAAAGTGTCGCCACCTGGCTTCCCCATGTGTTGGCCCCATTATAAGCAATGAGAACACAAGATGTTTTCTGGGCTCCGTCCAGGACACTTCCAAGATGGAGCAAGGATGGAACCCTTGCTTGGAAATAGCTCTGTATCATGTGAAGGGATCCTATCCTGGTTCCATCCTGGAAGCTTCTTAGAATGGAGCCAGAAGATAATGTGATCAGGTCATTAGGTAGACAGAGTAAGATATAATAGGAACAGGCATAAAGTTCATTTCTATTTTTAAAAAATTCTTCAAAAGAAAATGTTGATTTTTGCCATTTTATATAAGGGACACCATTTTATTGCACTATTGTATATGATGGAAGTTGAGCATTGACGGATTTTGGTATCTCTGGGGATTATGGGACCAAACCATAGCTGATACCAAGGGCCCCGCTGTATATGAACCCTCCTGTATATGTTTCTTTTCTTGGTTGATACAAAACTACAGTATTTTGAGGGTAACCCTCTCGCTTTTCTTGTTCCCAGGGCTCCAAGATGGGAGGCAAACTGAGCAAGAAGAAGAAGGGCTACAGTGTGAATGATGAAAAGGCCAAAGACAAGGACAAGAAGGCTGAGGGGGCTGCTGCTGAGGAAGGAGAGGCTCAGAAAGAGAGTGAGCAGGTTACAGCGGAGACTACAGAAGTGAAGGAAAATAGCAAAGAGGAGAAGACTGAGCCAGATGCTCAGGTGGCTGCCAACAAGACAGAAGAGAAAGAAGAGGAGAAAGATAAAGCAGCGAGCCAGGAAGAGCCCAAGAAACCAGAAGCTGAGAAAACAGAGGCTGCGGTGGATGCCAAGGTGGAGCCTCCGAAGAGTGAACAGGCAGCCAAGGCAGAGGAGCCAAGCTCTGCTTCTGCTCCGGCTGGCGATGCGCCTAAACAGCCCTCTGAGCCTAGCAGCGATGCAAAAGCTTCCCAGCCTTCAGAAGCCATAGCTACTAGTAAAGTAGATGACAAGGGCAAAGAGAAAGGAGAAGTCAAAAAGACTGAGGCTCCTGCCATACCCACAGCCCAAGAAACTAAAAGTGACGTGGCCCCAGCTTCAGACTCAAAACCTAGCAGCAGTGAGGCTGCGCCTTCTTCCAAGGAGACTCCAGCAACCACAGAAGCCCCTAGTTCTACTGCTAAGGCCTCAGAGCCCGTGGCCCCGCCAGAGGAAGCAAAACCCTCTGAAGCTCCAGCAGCAAATTCTGATCAAACCATATCAATGAAAGATTAAATTGGACAGTCCATGGGGAAAACAAAAACAAACAAAAAAACAAAATTAACCACTTAAAACAACCTGTGTCTTCTTTTTTTTTAATTCTCTTTTTTTCAGCTCTACTAACTTGTTTCAGATCTGAAATAACAATATGTATTGCCCAGGAAAAATTTAAAAAAGGAAAGAAATTACAAAAAAAAAAAGTAATTGGTTCGTCCCATTAAGTGAGCGGGAGGGAGGGAAAGTGGGCGTGGGGTGGGATTGGGCTGTGGCTGTGGCGGGGAATCCAAATAGTATTTTTGTGGGGGAAATAGCTAATATACTTTCTGCCAACTTTGCAAAGTCCTGTATTTCAATCAAGAATTAAAATCAGATGACAACCTTGATGTCTGAAAGTGCATTACCTCCTTCTTTTCTTTTTTTGGTACCTGAACTGCTGTATAAATGCACTCCACCAGTCCTTTGATCTTTTTTCCTTTCTTCTTTTTCTCTAAAGGGGATTTTGGAATGACAACATAATTGATTCTGCCCTCTGGGCCAGTGCCACACCAATCAGATCTTTATGAAAGCAGTATTTCCTGTGGGTTTTTTTTAATTTACAGCCTTTTATCATTTTGTATTTTTTATGCAGTGGATGAATGACAACTTTCAGACAAAACTCACCTAGCTGTCCACATTTTTTCTCAATGCCAATCCTCTGATACTTCTTCCTCTCCAAATATTTTTGGGAGTTAAAAATTTAAAAAGCATTCTCATCCTACTTAGCCTTCCTAGATTTCTCATGACGAGTTTAATGCATGTCCGTGGTTGGGTGCACCTGTAGTTCTGTTTATTGGTCAGTGAAAATGAAAAAAAAAAGTCTGCGTTTTTTGCAGTTGCAGTTTCTCTTCCATTCTGTGTCACAGACACCAATACACCACTCATTGGGAAAGCAAACAAACAAACAACAGAAAAAGCAAAATGTAAAATGGATGCATTGAAATTATATGTAATTGTATAAATGGTGCAACAGTAATAAAAGTTAAATAATTTAAAAACATCTTAAGTGTTACTGGTTACAAATTTATTTAGGTGAACTCTTCTTGCATACATGTGGGAATTCTAGTAGTCAAGAAATAGTGTCCCTCCTCTTCAGAGATAGCAAAACTCTGCCAACTATATTATCCACTGGACGGATCCTGAGAACTTCTCAGGAGGAAAGTAGATAGATCTAGATTTTTCCAATTTTAGGTTTTTCCACTTTGATATGATAGTTAAACTGAGATGCCTGAGGAGTGAGGGAAAATCAAGAGAACCAAACTGAAGCTATTTTGCAAAAGGCAGTCAACATATGTGCAGAGAGAAAGAAGGACTGCTGGAGTAAAGGAAGCAGACCACAGACTGGCCTGTGAATTCCACACAGTACATACATAGGCATAAGAATAAATGCACAGACATAGAAATACACGCAGAATGTGCAAGCATTCTGGGAGTTGTAGTCCAAAAGAGCAATTTCCCAAGTTCTGGTTGATCTTAGTATCATTTTGGCAGTTGACTCCCACTGAGACAGCACCATGCCCTCCTCTCCTGTTCCCCATCACCCTCATGCCTGCAATCTCTGTACTTCTTTAAAATATGCTCTGGAAGGTTCCCTTTCTACTGATCCAGATATCACAGGGATGGCTATGGGGAGGGACTGCTAGAGGAGGAATTGGCTCCCGTCCAGATTCTGATGAAGCTATTCTATTAGTAGAACAATCCTATTGGATCCTGGCTGTTAACTACAGTCAGCCCTCTACATTTTCAGGTTTATTGCAGATTTGATTATTAGTTCTCCCTAAGAAACTCTTTCATGGGAGTCCTGTACCCTCAATCCAGACAACATGAAGGGTTGACTGTATTGTGACAAGAATAAGCAGATATTGGTTGGAATGAAGAGCAAGGAGAGCACGATAAAGTGCCTGTATGGGTCTTTAGGCCTCTTGAACATTTGGAGAAGCACTGGCTCCATCTCAGGTCCCCAAAGATACTCAGTTTAGCTCCATTCTCACGGCGCTGACAGCAATTTATAGAATGTGATGGACAATCTATTTGAGGACTTGCCTGAAGAAGCCTACTTTCCTGCTGTTGACTTAGGTGACCCACTTCTCCGATTGTTGTGGGCAGTTCTTCTTACTGTGGTGTAAAGAATGGATAAATCCAAACAGTTATCTTCAGATCACTTTCTGCAAAATTCGTCTCAATGTAGACACTGCACATCTCTGGGGGAAAAACAAGTTAGTTGGTCTACCTCATTGACAATCTGACTCATGCTGTTCTGAATCACGACATTACTTTATTTATTGAATTCATATCCCACCTTTCTCCCAAGATGGGATTCAAGGCAGCATAAAGTTGTGTGTGTGTGGTTTTCTCGCTTGTGCAGATGTATTTTGCTATGTCCTAAACTTTGAGAAATACCATTCACTGTGATGTGATTTTAGGAGATACAAATAATGTTTAGGGAGCATTATTAGGGGGATGGTACATTGAAATAAACAGTGAGCCTTATAATCACATAACATTTTGATGAGGCTTCTATATTGCTTTCATTAATCCATACTGGGAAAGCATTGCTCTTCCAAACGTTCCAAACTATAATCCCCACCATCCTTTATGATTGGGTAGAGCTTATGAGAGCTGTTAGCCAAAACTTCTGGACAGTCATGCTTTAACTCTGTTTTCATATTTTTATTTTTAAAATATCACAGTTTTACTTCTTTTTTTTTTGCATTTTAATATAACAGTTCCAAAAACAATGTATTATCGAAGCCTTCCATGGCTAGAATCACTGGGTTGTTGTAGGTTCTTCGGGCCATATAGCCCGAAAAATCTAGAACAACCTAGTTCCAAAAACAGATTTTGTGGAATAGAACATGACAAATATATTACATTAAATTCTAGGATGAGTTAATACAACTGAGAAAAGCATGCTTCTGATAAAATTATGAATTCTTAGCAAAATAAGACGGTTTTACAAAAGAGAAAACAAGGTGTATTCATAGCTTCCGGGCTACAACTGAAAAGACCCTGCCCTTAGCTGCTAATTTTGATTTCCACTAAGTTTACACTCAAAACTGAGCCACATTGGCAGATGTTAATCTCTGAATGCTTATATAAGGAAGAGAACTAAAGCTCCAGATATGTGAGACTTTAAAGCTCAAAACCAGCACTTTCCACTCAACTTGCAAAAACAGTGCCTATGTTCCAGAACTGGGAAGATACATATTTTCTCCAGCACGCATCTAAACTAAACCACATTCTATACCACTTTAAGTTTCTGATTCATTTTCAAAGACAATTCTACATTGCAGTTGTCCAGCCTAAAGACTCACACCTAAAAAGCATTGTGGTTAGGTGCCATCTTCTAGTGAAGGTATCAGTTGTCCTGATACCTTGCAGTTGTCCTGCAGAAACATGGAGTCCATGGAGTATCTGCAAGCAAGTCGCCTCCATAGGGCAACATTTGATTCCATATGAAACAATGAATTTCTCAGCTCGTCCAGTTCCTTAGTAACATTGCTTAGATTTCCCTGAATGGAGATTTAATTGGTTCATCTCCCAATGAGCCTCTTTATTCAAAGGGAAAACTAAGAGAAACACACTGCTAGATAAACTGCAATTTTTAAAGCAAAATAATGTTTTCAAAAAGAGAAAAAACTTCGGTTGTATTAAATCACTTCAGGCTACAACGAAAAAACCCTTCTCTTAGCAGCTAATTTCAATTTCCCGAATGCTTCATTTTCCAAGGAGTGATTGCCATCTCTCTTCAATGAAAAGAAGACACTTATCAGCATACTGATGAAGCTTCATATTATCAAGTGATTTTTCTCAACAATTTCATGAAAAAAAGCACATGAGACAAAGCTGAAAACTGTTGACTCCATATATAATAATTGTCTTGGAGAGCAACAACCGTTTCCCAGCACAATATTCTAATTCCTGGATCTGCTTTCCAAGAAGGAATGGAACTTCTGCTCAGCCATGATCTCTACTCTTAACTTGACACTGAGAAGCGCAAAAAACAAAGAATTGTTGTAGCCCCCCCCCCAATAGCCCCATTTGTCGACCAGAGCAATAAAAGTTGCTGCTATCCTCAACAAGGCCTGAGGGCCCAGTAAACTATATTGTATGTGTCTCCACATTGGCTTATTGCAACCCATTCATTTCACATGAGAGGAGCCCCGGTGGCACAATGGGTTAAACCCTTGTTCTGGCAGGACTGAAGACCAATAGGTCACAGGTTCGAATCTGGTGAGAATGCGGATGAGCTCCCTCTGTCAGCTCCAGCTCCCCATGCGGGGACATGAGAGAAGCCTCCCACAAGGATGATAAAACAACAAAACATCCAGGCGTCCCCTGGGCAATGTCCTTGCAGAATGCCAATTCTCTCACACCAGAAGTGACTTGCAGGTTCTTAAGTCATTCCTGACATGAAAAAAAAATCACACAAGTTTCTTAGTTGAGAAATAATCAGAGGCATTTTGCTAATTTCTTCATTTGAAATCTGGTCTACAGCACCTAGTATTTGTTATCATTCCATTCAAGTATTAACCAGAACTGGTGCTGTTTAGCTTCTAAATTCCAAAGGGATGTGACACTTTTATGAAGTATTTAATCAATCCCTTTGCACACACATTAAAAAAGCAGAATGAAAGAGATTTAGATTATCAGTCACCTGACATTTGCAGTCACTCAGTCACTGCTTTCTGGAATATCTTGCCAGTTGACAGAAAATATGGGATTGGGTATAAGGGCTGAGATCAGAAAGCTCTACAGTTTCTTTTTTTAAAAGTATGAATTACTTACAAACAAGTCTCAACTAGCCTGCTGGCTACTGTGGCTAGTCCTTCATGAGGAAAAGTGTTAAGGATTGAATTGTAACGCAGCTATTTCCAAGATCCTTATCTATGGATGTGAACAAATGCATATCAACTATGCAAGTTAACAGCTGTGTGCTGTGGAGAGATATTTTAAAATAACACAGGAAACAATTTTGGGAATAAACTCATGAAGTCCAAATCATAAAATATGAATTTGTTGTCAAGGACCAGGATGGGTGTGGGAACTAATGGGGAAACTCCAAATGTTTCAGCCTGCAATTCCCATCAGTTCCACCCAGTATGACAATTGATAACAAATTGGGCAAGTTATGGTCCAAAACATCTGGAGATCCATTTATTGTCGTGTCAGGAGCAACTTTAGAAACTGCAAGTTGCTTCTGGTGTGAGAGAATTGGCTGTCTGCAAGGATGTTGCCCAGGGGATGCCCAGATGTTTTGATGTTTTACCATCCTTGTGGGAGGCTTCTCTCATGTCCCCACATGAGGAGCTGGAGTTGATAGAGGGAGCTCATCTGCACTCTCTTTGGATTCGAACCTGCGACCTGTTGGTCTTCAGTCCTGCTGGCACAGGGGTTTAACCCATATATTCTCTTGTTCTACAATAGGAGGTAATCTGTTATTGTCAAGCATTTATTGTGACCTCCTTGGTATTCTGAGATTTGTAATCCAGAATGTAATTTTTGCAAGCTCTGGCAATTAAATAGCAGGGTGCCTCTGAGCTCATATTCAGCACTAGGATTTATTTTCAGTCAAAGAATTGAGTTGATAGTTCCACGAAAGAAAGTCCACATCATTATCAACCCATTAGTCAGATAGCGAAAACATTGGATGCTATTGTCAGATTCAGAAGAATCATAGAATCATAGAATCAAAGAGTTGGAAGAGACCTCATGGGCCATCCAGTCCAACCCCCTGCCAAGAAGCAGGAATATTGCATTCAAATCACCCCTGACAGATGGCCATCCAGCCTCTGTTTAAAAGCTTCCAAAGAAGGAACCTCCACCACACTCCGGGGCAGAGAGTTCCACTGCTGAACGGCTCTCACAGTCAGGAAGTTCTTCCTCATGTTCAGATGGAATCTCCTCTCTTGTAGTTTGAAGCCATTGTTCCGCATCCTAGTCTCCAAGGAAGCAGAAAACAAGCTTGCTCCCTCCTCCCTGTGATCTATATTTGTGTTC